TCGAAGCCGACTAATTAGTAATTACTACATATAATTAACTAATATCCCACAGTTAGTGTTCTATTCTGCAGAATTAAAATAACATGTAAAGTTTTCAATCACCTGATAATCGAAGAAGGTGACGTAAAAAGAGAGTTTTCGTGAGCTTCTTCCTCTCTCATGTCTAGGCTGCCGCCGTCAAACCGCTGTGCCGCCGCCACCGTACCGCCAGCAGCCGCCATACCCATCCCTAGCAAATCAAGAGTGGTGCTGCTTAGGTCCAAAAACAGACGGAGTACCCTTCCTCAGTTCCTTCAAACCGGTCCCACCGTCACAGCCAAGACCAAGCCCGAGCCCGAGACCGAGACCAAGGGATAACGATGCATTCGATGAAGCGGGCCCCATTTGGGCGGCCTTCTGTAATAAGGCCGTTGCTGATAAGGCGGGCTGCATCGCGGGGGAATATTGCCCTTGATGATTCATGGAGAGGCATAGAGCTATTATGGGCTCCGATGAGGGTGGTGGTGGTGGTGGTGGTGGGGCGGCGTCGTGTGTTGTAGTTCGAAACAAATCGGTGAATTCTGTTGTTTGGTAATGGGAGTTTCTTGAAGATGATGACGTGGCGAATACGCTTGCGAATACGTTACTGCTCGAGCTCCCGTTAGTGCTGGAAGTGCTGCTGCAGCTTGCTGTTAAGTTTGTCAATGGAGGTGTCTCCTCTAAGAAAAGAAAAGGAGAAACAAAGAGAGTAAATAAAAGATACATCGAGGAAGATTGAAACAAGAAACCCGTTTTTCTATTGATCTTATAATGTGCTATATTCCTTTCAAGAATTTGGAATTAACGATTCTTGAATCATGATTTTAGATGTGTGTGGTTATATTGTTCTTCTCGATCCTAGTATTTAATTATGTTTTGTCTCCATTTAATTTATTTAGTCTTTGAGTGTATAGTTTTTTGCACATCAAATCCTAGCTAGATACCCGGTCTAAAATCATGGTAAATTACGGCCACCCCAAAGGTCAAATTACGAAAAAACCCTTCACGTTTGGGTAATTACAACCACCCCCAATTATGAATCTTCATACACGTCCACTCTTATCGTGTCAATCAACAGAATATTCTAGATTCCGTGGAATGTTGTCTAATTTGTACTCGTTTTGTGCAAAAATGCAGTTTCTAATGCACCACAATCTGATTTTTAAAAGACACATTTTATGATCATCTTGTTTCAAAACGTGGAGCTAGAATGGGATAAAACGGGTACAAACTGGAAAATATTCCACATAATCTAGAAGATTCTACTTAATTTGACATGATAAAAGTGGACGCCTAAGAAGATTCATAGTTGAGCGGGTGCTTATAATTACCTAAACATGAGAGCTTTTTTTCGTAATTTGACCTTACATCAGTTAATTTGCCCTAAAATTATTATATGCAGATTAACAACAAACCATAGCAACACACTGATACGATCTCTCGGGAATCCAAAAATTGCACTTACGGACGTAAGATGATTTTTATTATAAAAAAATCATATCATTCGCCTTTGTTCATTGCATATATCTGCTTTGAAATACCTATCTTAGTTACCTAATTATTGAATTCAATTAATAAATAAATACTTGACAATGCATGCAACACAGACAAAATAAAAAACACAACTCCAAGATTAAAGACATAAATAAATAAATAAATTTTTTTTTTTTTTTATCGAACCTACGAGTATAGGACAAAACCCATTATATTGTAACTGCAAGAATCCAAGTTTTAGTCAAAATACCAGAATTATTATCACGTAAAGAAGATGGCACCACATCAGTTGGAAGAACTGCAGGTGGTGGAGCTTGTGGTGGTGATGGTGGTGGTAGTGGTGATGGTGGCGGTGGTGGTGCAGCGGATGCTGGTGGCGGTGATGGTGGTGGCGGTGGTGGTGCAGCGGATGCTGGTGGCGGTGATGGTGGTGGTGCAACAGCCGCTAGTGCCGGTGATGACGGTACATCAGCATTAGGAGCAGCTGCATTTGCCGACTCTGGTTTTGCATTTTCCTCCGCTAACACATCACAATAAGCCCTATGCGTAGTAAAATTATCCTTCCTACAAATAAATCGAAACTAGAAAATCAATCCAAAATTCAATCAATGCCATACCGAAAAAATAACTCTCGAAAAGAATAAAAAAACCTCGAAAACAAAGTTCCACAGTCACACTTATA